ACATATATATATATATATATATATATATAGTAGCTGTGCGGTATGGCTGTATATCAGCATGGCTGTGATTCGGCCATAGGTAATCACAGCGTGCTGATATACAGCCATATTGCATGCATGGCTACGAGTGTGATATTTTTATACAACAGTATGATGGCACAAGTGTGTAAATAAAAATGAGACAAGAACGGAGAAAACCCTCTTTTGTGCAGAACTACTTCCTTCCGCCACGGATTCAAATCTCAGTTTTACAGTTTAACAGCTGAGCCCAAGCCTCTGTTACCAATTTGAAAACGTCACTTTAGAACTAGTAACAAAGGAATGTTGAGTCGCTTCATTAAAAGCTTATTGTATTATGTAGAGTATTATAAGAGCGATATCACCTGAGTGAGTCTATTACCTGCATCTGATACCAGCATTCATTCTTCAGGTCGATCTTATATCATTATAACAAAATCAGTTTGAATGTCCACTGAGGAAAGCGATATCATTGTGTTTGTCCTTTTAACAGTCAAGAGGATTTCCCATGACAGCGCTAGTCAATGCATTTGTCGGTTGCATCCCTATGGTTGCATCTTATAAGGCTGTGTAACGTAATAATAATGTCCTTGTTTCAGTCCCTTTCAATATAAAAGTCCTTGCAACTCACTCATAGACAGTCGTAATAATGCAACTTTCTCTGAAGATAAAATTATAACCACTAACGGTCCCTTTCTCAATTTCAAATACGGCATATTAGTTATATAAAATATTATTTATTGAACAATAATATATAAAAGAACAACAATAACCATTATAAAAGTATAATAAGTTTGTACAATAAGAAATAAACACAAGCAAACAATTCCGTCAATAGTAGAAAAGCAGCACTCTAGTTAGTACAGGATTTAATTATATAAAAATAAAAAGATATGAAACTTAACTTTGCCCTAAAGCCAAATCGATTTGCTCTGGAACAAGTAATAGATTAATAAGACCAAAGATTGCCCATTTAATATAACCAAAATAAATTATAGCTTGTGTAACACCATCTGCATAAGAGCCAGAAGCAAATTCCCAAAGGACTGGCTGAGATAAGGCTGTTCTTGGCAGGTAAATGAGCGCTGGATGTTTGCTGTTGGCCTGGAGCTCACATCTCTGAAAATGTCTAAACAAGTTGTCAAATAGGCACCATATTTATATATAAATCACATATTTGAGGTCTAAACAACTCCATTCTCAGCTAAAAATCTATTAAAGGGGTCATCGGATGCAAAATTCACTTTTACATGCTGTTTGAACATTTTGGCAGTGTTTGTACACATCCACCCTATAATAATAAAAATCCACCCAGTGGTTTTTATTTAATCCCTAAAAATAATATCCCCTTTTTCAAATCAGGCCATTCTCAGCTTCTTGGCTGTGTGATGTCACACAGACCCAGGCCCCTCTCACGATTGTTGATTGACACTGGTGTTTTACCTTAGACCTACCCTGAGTGAGCCGGAGCAGGTGTAGACCAAAATGACTCTTAAGCGATTGAGGTGTTTTGTTGTTGGATGTAATAATGAACATAGCAGTCGTCATTTACTCCCAACATCATGAAGATGCAGAGGATTACCTTTGTTTTTGAAGGGAATGCACTCCTGATCTACCTAAATGCGTCTATGTTCGCGCAGATCATTCGTGATCCAGCCTCATTTACAGAAGAAGTGAGTATAAGGTTCTTTTATGAATCTTTGCAAATCGCCTTTTTCTAATAATGTGCCAGTTAGCAAGTTCTACCAGAAAGACTCGGGAGGTGATAAGATTTGAAATAATTTATTTTATAAAACCAAGACATAAAAAACAGAATTCTTTGGCATAGGCCCCATCCGTAGCTTGAATCTGTAGGTTGAAGTTTCAGCTATTACTCCCGAGATGAAGGCAGGGGCGGAGCCTACCCCCCTGCATGGACAAGGCCAACCTGGTGGTGGTGGGGAGGATGGAGGGGAACGTCAATGTCAGTTTCTGCGAACACAACGAAGGGTGAGTACAGAGTTTATATATTTCTCGTGTCGAGTGACTATTGGCTAGATCTTATTGGAATGCGTGACGTAGCATTAAGTCTTCTTAGTAGAACTTGCACTAAAGCTTCCATTTCCGTGGCTAAAGTAAACAGTCTCATGAGAACGGCTGGTCACCCCACGGAAGGGAGGGGCGGGGGCAGCGGAGCGGCTTGCTGTGTGCAGAGCTGTTTTTGGCAAGGTAAAAAGGGTGTTGTTTTAGACTACCATTGAGAAATTTTAACCAAAGTATGTTATAGACTTTTCATTAAGACCCTAAAGAATCATATCAACTTGTGGAAAATTGGCATCCGATGACCCCTTTAAAACTACATTCCATGACACAATTAAAATAATAATATTGTAAAATTATAATGGGTTCGCTCTTCTGCCATTGACAAATGCTGCCAGTATAGATCCGACAACAAGTGAAGTGATACAAACGGTTAAATGGTTAGAGTGCTGATACTACTGGAATATTGCACCGCTGGAAAAGGCTGTCAGCCAATCAGATTCGGGAATATATATATATATCGGGGGGAAAAAACAACTCTTCATATATATCCAAAGTTCTGTCATGAAACTCTAGATGGTGCAGTCCTATAGGTCTAACTCAATCTGACAATAATGACATCATCACATGGCACAGCTGATTGGTTCCAATGAGCGCTGCTCAGCATTCAAAAACTTGGCTAGTGCTTGCTGTAGCAGTTGCAGCATGCTTCAGAAACCCTCCACCTTCCCCAGCTCCACCTGTATAGATCTGCTACGGGGTGATTCATGTATGCTATATATGGGGGTTATTTCATATATGTGACCCGTGCTGGCAAAATGAGTCAAAATGCGCATGGGCTAATTTTAAGCTATAGGCAAAAAAAGTTAAAAATCTCGATAAATATACACATATGAACAGAATTACAGTGCTACAGTGTAGCAGATCTATTCCGCCAAGACCAAACACATTAACATTGCGTTGTACATTACCATGCCAAACCCTCCAAGAGTTATATACTGTATATATTATGAAAGGAAAACAGGATAGGAAACGACATGACGTGCCAAGTATGGTGACCCATACTTGGAATTTGTGCTCTGCATTTAACCCATCCAAGTGCACACACACAGCAGTGAGTAGATCTTGCAATATCAGAGTAGAGATCTTGCAATATCAGAATTAGGTTTATGACATCTAATGCTGAATTAAAATCCATTAAAGGGCATTTTGCAATTGCTAATTTCAGGCATTACTTCCCTTTCCTGTCCTTAAGCCCTTTGAAAATGTTCCAATTAGGGATCATTATCAGGGCGATGGCTGATGATCTTACGCGCCGAACATGCAGAACATTCTAGAATAATGAGCACAGACGCGGCTGAAGATTAGGGCCGTGACACCGTGGTTTGATGTCGCTGCATTGTGGGAACGTGCCTTTATCAGCTCTAACAAGCCTTCTAATAAGATTACTCATTGGACATGAGGAGATGAGTGAATTTGGTACAAAGCAACAGCCCAGCTTATCAGTATGTGTGATGAAGATGATGTAAAAGGCAGACTGTATTACACAGACTCTGGTGGAGGTGCAACTGTCTGTGTGCTCTGATGTCTCTGCACTAATTTGGATTTTTTTGCTTATGAAGTTTTGATTTTGAGTTACAATGAGTAGGTTGATTTTCACATTATACATGAGCTTGATGTGTACTTTACATAGTTGAAGTCCCAATTCGTTCATATTTGATGTTCATATTCCAATATGAATTCAAGTAGAATTGTTAACTTTCACCATCTTATACTATTTTGACAGCGTATGTGCTCAGTGTGATAAGTTTATCATGTAAGTAATGTAATTCATTTTTTTTATCAATTGACAGGTATTTTATTAAATAATATTAGATCAGTCTGACCTTAGTTTTTAATGGATATTATGAATATAAGCAGCTAGTGTACAACACTTGAAGACAAAACAGTTTTTAACAAAAAGTAGTGTTTAGGTGTGAGATTCATCTTCGATTTAATGTTCAATATCAATAAGAAATCATGGAAAACTTGAGGATTTGGGTAAGCTTGATAGCATCACTTTACTTAACAGTGTTATTTTAGTATTATTTACTATTACAGTATTTATTAATATTGTCAACAGTTTTTTGAAAACACATCAGATCTCAATGGGGAAACATATCATGCTGGATATCTATACTGATATGGACTGGGTAATGGGTAATGTGTTAGGAATGAAAAGATGCCACATTGTTTGATGTAAATGGAAAATTATCAACCTACAGAGGGCTGAATTCAAAGACACCCCGAAAATCAAAGTGAAAAAATTATGCAACAGGCCAGTCCATTTTGCTGAAATTTCATTGCAGCAAATCAAAATGGTACTCGGTAGTTTGTATGGCCCCCACATGCTTGTATGCATGCTCCTAATGCCGAGTTCACGCTGCACGATTTTAGCCCGATTTTTCACTCGCCGACCGGTTTTGCGAAATCGCTGACAAATGCCCGAAATCAAAGGCAAATCGGTGCTCGTTCATTCAGGTGTCTGAGATCGAGGATGGGTCGGAGGCCACCATCTCTTTTGTGGATGAGGAAGTAACGGCTGTAAAAGCCTGACTCGTAAAAGGCGCTGGGTCCAACGCAATCTTGGGTCGGGGTCCCTGGCGCTTAGGAAGAGGGTAGCGTCTGGCCGAGCGAGAGCGTCCCAGACTGAAGCTCTCGCAATGAGAGCAATTAGCTCCCGTGAGCACAGCTTCCGCATGGGATTTCCCCAAGAAGGAAACGCACTCCGTGTGGCCGTCATCGGTGTGCAGGGGGGACCCGCACAAACCGCAAAAACGGCGCGGCATTTGCAACAACGCCGATGCTCTTTTGGAAGCTCTTTTAGGAGTCGCCAGATGGCGGCAGGGGAACCGGACCGGAACTGCTGCGTCGCTGGAGCGGTGGAGAAGCAGGTCAGCCGAGCTGAGAGGTCCCCAGTACGAGTGAAGTATCGAAAGGGAACTGATTAACAACCCCCTCTGCTACTTAACTGACCAGATCAATATCCCAGGTGTTTGACTGACTTGATGCTATACTCTGATTAAAAAGTGTTCCTTTAATTTTAAGCAGTGTATTTTCAGTTTTCATTTTACATTTAGTTTAAGTTTTAGTAATTTATGTGCTTTTGTCATTTTTAGTAGTTTTTTTTTTTCAATTTTACATTTAGCGTTATTATTTTTATTTCAGTTATTTATTTTTATTTCAGTTTTAGTTTTTGCAATTTAAGTACTTCAAAAAATTGAAATGTTGCCTGAAATTCATAAGTTTAAGTTAATGTTTTTTAAGCTTTTCATCCAATATTTGTATTTTATTTTATTGCAACCTTGTTTCAATTACTAAAAAAATATTTTTTAATAGTTTTACTTAACAATAAAAAAAAAACTGCTTCTTAAATGTTCTTTTAGACTGTACATTGCTAGTCTCAGCTTCAGACGTCATGCCCATGGACTGACTTCCTGGCCAGAATAAACTGCAGTATGTGCCAGACTGTTTGATGTCTAGTCAAAGGTCTGGCTATGTGAGACTAGCCCATTGCTGACAGTTGAGAAGTTTTCAGAAGATGCTTCCTCACACCCATCAATGCGTCATTCATTGACTATGGCTGTGTTCGAAATGGCATACTTGCTTACTGCTTCCTGCTTACTGCCCAGTACACAGTGCATACTGCCTACTATTTTATTAAAGAATAGTGTGTGAAACAGTATACAATAAGAAATAAATATTTCAGAGTAGTATGCTTAAGTGCTGTCACATGACAAACACTGAACATTAATTCAGCACAGCTGTCAAGGTTGTTACCTTAGAAACAAATGAGCTAACTGTTCTTTTTACAAAGGCTTGTTAATAAGGCTTCATACTAGTAAACAATGCTATATTGCCCAATTGAACATGATCGGAAACGTGCTGTAGAGATTAAAGTTCAATTTATGTTCTACTAACGATACTGTTTTTAGATACACAGCGATAGTTTGTAGTTTACATGTATATGTATATGTATATACGTACAAATACAAGTGTTACATTTATAATTACTATTCCCCATCTCCAGTTCACTCACGCGTTTGAAGATGAAACGTCACATGGAGCGCATTGCGTTCTGGGAAACAGTATCCCATGCAGCGTCTTCAGATGCATACATCAAATTTCAGCCAATGTAGCAGGTAATCCGGGCATTCCATGCATACAGAAAATTCACATACTATTCACAGTATACACACAGCATACTGCAATATAGTATGGTAGTATGCCATTCCGAACAGCTTCTGTACTGATTTCAGTGTACTTGAGTTATATTTAGCAGATTCTGGCGAATATAGTAGGTCATCCGGGTATTACATGCATACAGAAAATTTGCCGACTATGCACAGCATACATGCTTGGATACTGCAGAAATAGTAAGAGTAGTATGATAGTATGGCATTTCGAACACAGACACTGACACACCCGAGCTGGAGAAGTTCTTTCAAAGCCTTGAGCAAAGCCTTCATCAGATTCATAATCCTTGAACCCACCCTCAGCACAACACAAACACATTCAAAGGCAAACACCTCCTCCCTGTTGCCACAGGCAAATCATGCATCTCAAACCAAGAAATGCCATCGGCAAGACTGAGAGGTGAAGTGTACTATTTCTTGTCTCGACTGCATTTTAACTATTTTAACAGAGCTCGAAGAAGTGTTGGTAAACTTTGTGCAACATTGTGTGACTCTAGAAGATGAAGTGAAATGTACCTGAAGAGTCCTTTAAATATAGGCCATGCTTATTTTTGTACTGTCAGTAAGCAGGTTGCTTTTCTCTGAGGTAATGTTGTTTGTCACGGCTGTGGAAACAATTTGAATCATGGATGAAAATATCTTATTTAAATTCACGTCCCTTATAGCAATTTATTAAAGTGCATGTAATCACAAAACAATATCAACGTTCATTCATTCTAATTGCAGTATGGTGACAGCTTAGTCATATCCATAATTATCCCATACTGGATGAAATGATTTGCAAGTAAAACTGGTAAAAAAAAACACATTTTTATATGACTTTTTTCTCTCTAAAGCAGTGGTTCTCAACCCTTTTTAACTCCAACTCCTACTGTTTTCAACAATAAGGCCTCATGATTTTTACAGTTTTTTGTGATTGATTGGATAAGGATTAATGACCAATTCTCGCTATTACCTATGCTTGCTTATTACTTAAAAAGCACATATTAATGTCTTATTCTGCATGACCATATTTTAGATCCCTGAACCCTGCCCAATACCTAAACTTAAAGGGATAGTTCACCCAAAAATGAAAATTCTGTCATTAATTACTCACCCTCATGTCGTTCCAAACCCGCAAGACCTTCATTCATCTTCGGAACACAAATTAAGATATTTTTGATGAAATCTGAGAGCTTTCTGACCCTCCCATAGACAGCAACACAACTACCACGTTCAAGGCCCAGAAAGTTAGTAAGGACATCGTTAAAATTGTGACATCAGTGGTTCAACCATAATGTTATGAAGCTACGAGAATACCTTTTGTCAGGGTCAGAAAGCTCTCGGATTTCATCAAAAAAATCTTAATTTGAGCTCCGAAGATGAATGAAGATGTCTTACGGGTTTGGAACGACATGAGGGTGAGTGATTAATGACAGAATTTTCATTTTTGGGTGAACTATTCCTTTAACAACTACTTTACTAACTATTATTAAGCAGCAGATTAGGAGTTTATTGAGGTAGAAGTCGTAGTTAATACCAAACTAAAGTGTGACCAAAATATTTTTTTACTTATACAATTTCTACCTGATAAATTAATTTAGAGTTTTGCATACTTAGAAAAATGTATATTAATTATAACAATGCCCATGAAGTTAGAAGATTGTTATTAATTTACATGACCTTTCTAGAAGTATAGAAATCACACTTTTAAAAAAAAATATTCCTGGTTTTTCATAGAAAAAAAAAAAACAGTTGTTGAGGGGGTGAATTAAAATATGAAACATCTTAATTTTTAGTTGTTTTGGTGTATTTGACTCTTTGTTTGTCCTATTTTACATAATTTTGAGACCCCCTTGGAAGTTTCCGGACCCCTGGTTGAGAATCATTACTAAATCATTTAAGGATAACAAAGTACTGGGTAAAGAAAAATGTATAAGTATCAGTGTAAAAACATACTGTACACAAAATATGAGTATTAAGATTTATTTTAAGTTTCCAGTGCCCAGCTGTTCTTTGGTGTTTGTCATTAGTGTGACAATAGAGACAGTCAGCATTAACTCTCATCTCCATTTCGCCATAAAGCAAGGCACTGCAGTAATTTCAAATCATTTCATTTTCAGATAACAGTAACTACATTACCTCAGTGTCATCCTCCTTTCTTCGTTTCCTCCTCCTCTTGAGTTTGTTAATTTTGGTAACGAGTTTTGTCGTCTTCTTCCGCAGATAACTGAGCTCCACAACATTAAGAACATTACTCGAATGCCACGAGAGACCAAGAAACACGCAGTGGCAATTATTTTCTGCGATGAGACGTCAAAGACATTTGCCTGTGAGTCAGGTAAGCACTGTCTCCAACTCTGAGAAAAGTCTTTGTTGTAGTGCTGGATTGTATCCAAAATGGCTTAATTTATTCTATATTTCAAGATGTGCAAGTATTGATTTTCACATATCAGGGCTATTAGTTTATTCTTTGATTTATTCCTTTTATACCTTAAAACTAAAGAAGGCACTGCAAAGTGTTCAGGTTATTACGCTAGTAAGTGTTAGAAGAGCCCATTGGGATGCAGAGAATATATATTTTTTAAATTGTGTCATAGAGAATGAATATAGCCAAAGGCAACAGGCGGATCAGCAGTTAGAAAACAAAACAACAAGAGAAAGGCTTAACACACAAACACGTTTGAAATATGAATGAGATACTTTACTCACCATTAGCTTGGCAGTAGAAGGCGTCTATTCCCATGTGTTTTCTTTCCTCTCACACTGTGAATCTTGTAGTAAATGAATAAGTTTTTTCAGTGTATGCAGCAAGAACCCATTCAATTGATCAAAAGTGTAAGGAAAGAAGTAATATATGTTACAAAAGATGCTCCTATTTTGAACTTTCTATTCATCAAATAATCTTGAAAAAAAATTATCACGATTTCCACAAAACGTTAAGCAGCATTCCACTTTGATAATAAGAACTTTTTCCTGAGCATAAAATTAGCATATTATGGTATCTGTAGAATCATGTGTCACTGATGAAAATATGTTAAAACAGAAATGAGTTATTTTAAATTGTAATAAAATTTTACAATATTAGTTTTTACTGTCAAATAAATGCAGCCTTGGAAAATTCTTATCAGACCCTAAACTTTTGTGTAGCTCATGGATATGTATGAATGAATAAATATAAATTGATAAATAGGCTTCATCTGCTTTTGTGCATAATATTTCAGACCAAGAACCTGCATCTAGTTTAACATGGCACTAACTGCACAGATAAAATGCTGAATCGTGAGTATTATAAATTGAGTCATTCACCAGCATAAAAACATCTCCTTTTTTATGTAAATAGCCTTATTTAAATATATGTATAATTTATAATGAGCTGAATTTGCAAAACTCAGCGCTGTTGAATGGAATTATGTTGAAAAAGAGACATTTGAATACATTTTCTAGTGATGATAGCAGCAGTTATTTACCAGATCATGGAATTGAATGTAACCAGGCATACAGTATATCCATGGTGCAGTGTAGATGAGCAGCCTTTCTACTTTTAAACAGGCAATTCAAGTGTCTGGATTGTGCAATTAAAAATTATGTCAAACTACACTCTAAAATAAAGTTTCCAAAAGGGGTTTTTCACAGAACATGGGGTATCCAAACCTGTTCCTGGAGAGCCACTGTCCTGAAGAATTTAGTTCCAACCCCAATTAAACACACCTGAAGCAGCTCATCAAGGTCTTCAGACTCACTAGAAAGTACTAGGCAAGTGTGTTGGAGCTGTTTGGAGTTAAAATCTGCAGGACGTTGGCCCTCCAGGAGAAGAATTAGATACGCTGTCATAGAAGGACCATTTTGGGTTCACAATGAACCTTTCAGTAAATAAACAAACAATAAATACATAACCTAAAATAACCCCTTTTTATTTTTTTTTAGATTAACGAGTTAAAAATATTTAACACAGTTAATGCAGGGGCAGGGCTAGGGTTGACCACTTCACTCACAACTGCTGCCTCTGTCTCTTTTTTTTTTCTTGACAAGAAGTGCATTTATTTAGTCGCAGAACGTCTTTATGACCACATCAAAAGGGAGACGTTTTAGACGCGCTCCAACTTCACTTCAGCGACAGGCGCGAGTGTGGAACGAGTGTGGAAACGGTACTGGTCTCGCAGTGCGTGCTCATCAATTGCACGAGTAAAAAGGCGATTTAAGCTGCCTTAAAACTGTGCATGCATGTAATATGTTATATATGAGTCACATTTAAGAGCATGTCTCTGAAATGGTTTTCAGAACTGTCCTGGAGCAGCCCAGCACTGTCTCCTTCATCTTACACACCTGAATCAACTCCTCAGTTCATTAATAGAGACAAAGTGGGTCCGAAAAGGTAAAGAGAGTTGAGAGAAAATACGATGCGTGTGAGATCCGCGTCACGTTCAGCAGCGGCAGCTCTTAAAGTGTTAGTTCACCCAAAAATGAAAATTCTGTCATTAATTACTCATGCTCATGTCATTCCAAACCCGTAAGACCTTTGTTCATCTTCGGAACACAAATTAATATATTTTTGATTAAATCCGAGAACTTTCTGATCCTCCATAGACTGCAATGCAACTACAATGTTCCCAGGTCCAGAAACATAGCTAGGACATTGGTAAAATAGTCGCTTACATGAAGCGGAAGCAAGCGCATGCGTCGTGATACTCTTTCCACAATGGCAGACGGGATGAGGAGCAGAAGAATTGTCGAATAAAGTGGTTCTTTTTGTTTTGTTTGCACACAAAAAGTATTATTGTAGCTTCGTAAAATTAGGGTTGAACCTCTGATGTCACATGGACTATTTTACCAATGTCCTTGTTTCTGGAGCTGGGAACATTACAGTTATGTTGCTGTCTATGGAGGGTCTGAAAGCTCTCGTATTTAATCAAAAATATCTTAATTTGTGTTCCGAAGATGAGCAAAGGTCTTACGGGTTTGGAACGACATGAGGGTGAGTAATTAATGAGAGAATTTTTATTTTTGGGTGAACTAACCCTTTAAAGCAATGGCAGGCAAAGTAACCTAATAACCCAGCTGCTGTGATGTCTGTTAATCAAAGAACAAAAGAAAAAAGAGGAAATCAATAACTTATAGCTTTATGGATTAATTTATATTTAATTTATTATTTAGTGTTTGATAACTTTATTCAGTTTCTGTATATTTCCTATACTTGCTGAAGGGTACGCACAGGTATAAATATGACATTTATTATAATGGGTATATGTGAAGATTGTTTTAAGTTCATTTAAATAAGAACTTATGTTTTAAAGATAATAAATGTTAAAATTGATAGCTCTCAATTATACTGTAATGTTGAATGGCTATAGTCAATGGTTAAATATTAGGGAGAAAAAACAATTTTATAGAGACGTCAGTAGTATTGATATCAGTGATACTGGCCTTCAGTCCTTAAACAGATGCTGTTAAACAAATATTAAAAATATAATGTCTTTATGTTGTTTGTACATTAATTTGAAGATTGAAGATTGATTTACATTGAAGAATGTAAAATTATTGCAATATAAAAGTATATTTAAAAACTTTAATGTTAGGTGGGGTTAATCACAATTAATTTCAGAAAAAAATGTGCGATTAATTCAATTAAATTCAAGTTTATTTGTATAGCGCTAGGCATGGGCCGGTATGAGATTTTGACAGTATGATAACCTTAAGAGGAACACCACATACGGCGTTTCCTTGGTTACCGCTGTGAACAAAGCAGCACTGCACTGAAACACTGTTTTAATATGAACTATA